ACATGCTGACGTACTACAATTGCAAATACAGAACATTTTTTTATTTTATTTGAGAAGAAACCCGTGCCAGCTCCTGATTGGCTGAAAAAATTGTTCAACTAGGATCCATATCTTGAGTGGGTCAGGACTCTGTCAGACATTATCACTGATTGTGTCTTGATATTCAATACGTTGTCAATGAAACATTTGAAGTGTCAGTCTGTTTATTGATTTGCTTCTGAGAGGGATGCAATCAGAAAGGAATGTGGAGTGGCATTCGGAAAAGAGTCTATGATGGGCTTAAAAGTTTGGTTAATAGTCTTGATAAGAAATTCCTTCCCCCTCTCTTTTCCATGGAAAAGTCTACATTTTAAAAATGACATCTAACATTGACCTGATCTGTATTCAGTTTACCAACTCTACATTGCATCCCAAACCATTTATATTTGGTCATCGTTTTGACCTGTTTTAACTTTTTAAATCTGTTTTAACACATTTGATTGGCTGATACTTTATTTATTTATTGTTTAGATTAACTTATTTTTTAAAATGTGTCATTGGTTGATATACTGCTTCAGATGACTGATCTGTACTGTATGCCACTGTGAGATTTTGTGATAAAGGGAAAGGTATAATTATTTTAATAAATAAATAAATAAAACCATTGTTCTTTGTTGAAACTAATGATGGGATGTAATCAACCTGCAGTTTTTCTCCATGGGATTATTCATGTGAGTATGTCTGGATATAGTGTTGGCATTATTGGCGTGGTCAGGAAGCTTTTAAACTTCTTAACAACTTCACTGCTTTTTCTTTGCATTACTCAAAGTACAAATCACAGAGTTTTGAAGTGGTGTGGATAAATGTCCACTAGCCTTATTTTAGCATTATCTTGACAAAGTGTGTGCATTTAGGTCTCTGAGGAAAAAAGGCAGTGTCATCTAATGTCAGCCATTATAGCTGTAGTAATGGCTTGTTAGGGCAATATGCATTAGTTTCTCTCTCCCTCTCTCTCCACTTTGTATATACATGTAATATTTAGAAGTGCTAGGTCTTGCCCTCAATTTATTTATCCCATTCTGTTCTGTGCAGCATGCCAGCTCCTCTTAGCCACTAATAAACTGTTTTATGAGAGGAAGTTATGCCCCTGTGATGACCTGCTCAGCAATCCTTTTCTCTTTCTCTCTCTTTTGTCCCTGAGTGTTGTACGCTTGGTGTTGAATGTTCTGTTCTTGCACTTTCCGATTAGATCAGCCAAATGACCTCATGGAAATCAGAAGGGCCTGACCTTCTTCCTTTGCATTTTTTTTTCAATTTGCAAAGAAATCATAAAGAATAAGTCATGCGTATCTATTCCTAACTCTCCTGGAATGTCCATATAACTGGGGGTCCTTCCACACAGCTGAATAAAATCCCATATTTTCTGCTTTGAGCTGGAAAATATGGCAGTGTGGACTCAGATAACCCAGTTCAAAGAAGATATTGTGGGATATTCTACCTTGATATTCTGATTTATAGGGCTGTGTGGAAGGGCCCTGGGTAGGCCCAGAAGTTTGGTTGTTCTGAAGATGTGGGCTCTCAGAGTGTTTTCATGGGATGCTTCACTTTGTCTGATATTGTTGTGGATAACTAAGACCACAGATAAAAGGATCCATGCCCAGTGAGCGCTAGCTAAATCGAATGGACCAGGACAGAGGAATGCTCACCAGGTTGAAGACAAGCCACAGAGGTTTATTCAGTTCAGCTGAAGTGGATGTAAGTAAAAGTTGGTGCTTCAAAAAGCAGAAGCATAAAACATACAGAGGAAGCAAGATGTCTTATACAATTTGACAGCTATTCAAAATTCCCGCTCCCCTCCTTGACTGGCGGAGAGAGGGACCGGTCTGGATCCACACCTTGGTTGGCTGAGGGCATCAATTGGCATTGCTGTCTCCAGGCAGAGAAATGTCAGCCAGGGATTCACCGGCTGGGGAACCTTAGAATGTGGAAAAGAGATTCCACCTAAGCATTAGGAAATGGAATAATGGAATAAGTTGTTTTGGACATTGGTGGACTTTCTATCTCTGGAGGTCTGAAACAGAGGTTGAATTGGCATCTCTTGGGAGTGTTTTATTTATGCACTCCTGTATGGCTTATGATATCTTCTAATTCTAAGATTCTATGATTCTATGATCCTTGGTGGGAAAGCAACACTGCCGAACTTGTATAGATTTATAGTGTACTTCAGTAGTGTAGAAAGTATTCTTAAATGTTGTATGATTGATCACATCCTTAAGGATTTCCAATTAGCGACTCAACTTCTATGTCAGAGAGGGCAAAGGGTGGCATTAGGGTTACATGTAGCCTGCAAAAGCTATATTAATGGTCCTCAACAAATCCAGATTTCCAAGTCCACCATATGGAAGTGGTGATTCACCTTCCAATAATCATATTGTTGAAAAAATAAGCAAACCAGAAGTGGACAGTTCCAAGTTTGTGCCCCCCTCCCCCGCCTTATTTTCCCTCATCTCTTGCAATTGTTTATCCCTGTTCTGTGACTCTCAGTAGAGTTGCAAGCACTACAATATCTTATAAGGTAAAAGTAAAGGAGCTGAGGGCTGTGATGTATTGCACATCGAGGATGGCTACAAAGATAATTAACAGTTTTTGCCAGATTGGAGTAGGGATGGGGATAATATAACTAAGCCTCAACAGAACATGGTGCAGGATGAGGCCAAAGCTCTATCAAGTAGGATGAAATGATCTTTTCTCTTTTATTTTTCAATTCCCAATTGCACAAATTTTTGAGAATGCATGAAGTGACACCTGAAGTCAGATTCAACTCTGATACCTGGATCACTTACAGCCACTAGTAGCATTTCAGCCTATTCTAAAAGAGCCATTTATATCCTGGTTCATGCTGCCACCTTTTGTGTGCTTGAGAGCAGTAATCTTTATTGAAGTCAATGGGACTTAGATATGTCTAAAAGATCTTGTTGAATGCCTCATTTGAATTATTTCATTGGGTATGTTAATGATTTTTGTTGTTGGTATTGACTGTATCTCCCTGCATGCTTCAACTAGCATAGACAGCATAAGATTGGGCAGAACTTCATATAGGAATCATGACTCTAAGCTGAGGTCTTCTCTGATTCCATCGATATCTGAGAACCTCAAAAGACATTTTTTCTATATATTATTTTAGATTTTTGTGACCGGGTTATTATTTCTCTTCTAAGTTTGGATTATGAGTTACTCAATTGTATATGGTAAATGCAATGCATGGATTCTACGATTTAATAGTTTCAAATTATTCAAGTCAGATTATTGGTCAACAAGCTATATATAATTTAATAGTTCGAATCTTACCTCAAATCTAAAATCAACTTTATCTTCATGGACTGTTTGTTTAATACTGTTTTGTTAATGTATTGCAACATTGTTCAACCAAATGTGCATTCAGAGGAGCTGTATGCACAGCATTGTTTCTTTAGCCTTTCTTCTGAACAAGGATATTCCAACTGATTCCATATGTCGTCTTGTACGCGTATAACAAATAAACAGGATTCTGGAGCATGTAATATTATATAACATAATGTAACATACATAATGTAACATAACATAACACAATTATTTTATTTAGACCAAAGGAGATGGCTGCAGGTCAGTTCTTAGTACAGTAGAACCTTTGAATCCATTGGCTCTGGAACCATGATTTCCACCAGCCATAGATCATTGCATAAAATGGTGATGATGTCAATGTGAATGCATTCACACACATATTCCTCTCACTTAAAAGTATGGGACATAATAATCTGGGTGTTTTTTTTTGGGGGGGGGGGTTGGCATCCATAGGGGCCACAGAGCTGAACCTTTAAAGATCTGGAAATCCCACTCTACTAGTAATTTCTGATATTTACCCTGGTCATAAGATATCTTTCATCTATGTTACTCATTTTGCCACAACATGTAATCATTATTTTCCTGATGGTTATATTAAAAGTAGCATGGTTTCAATGCTTTTGAAACCTGGCTAGGTTAGCTATCATTCCCAGCCTTTTGTCCCCAAATAGAATTATACTACAATTCTCAGAATCCATCACCATCAACTGCACTGACCAGGTCTCTGAAAAATTAAAATCCAACAACATCTGAGCACAAGATTGGAAACTAGGGCCCTGATGTTTGCTTTGAGAATGAAGGGTTTTAACATATTTATTTATTTATTTACAACATTCATATGCCGCCCTTCTAACCCCAAAGGGGACTCAGAGAGGCTTATAAGATAGATATACATGCAATATATTATATTATTAGCATAGTACAATATCAGTATTATATATTGCTATATTGTACTATACCATTATATTGTAATATTATTAGTAATATCACATGTAATATAAATTACAAATGTCACTCTTCTTACAAGGAGATGGTGTTCCTTTGGAGAGGGGAGTTATTTCTGCATGAAAATACATGGTATCTCTGGTCCAAGATCTCAAACTGAGAAGATGTGGAAAGATGTGGAAAGACCAATAATTTAAATTTTAAGAAATATTGACATTTTCTCCTTTTCTTCCTTCAGTCTGCACTAACTTGTTGTTAAAATCATTTATTTTGATTTGTTTGTCTCACTTTGTTCAATTGTGCTATGAGGTTTGGTAAACTTGGCTTGATGTTTGTTATATATTTCTGACTATCAGAGGAAAAATCTTTACTTTGTGTCCAGACCTTCTATCTATATCAAACTGCCAGGATGTTTAATTGGATGTAAGAAGTCTAGAGCCTTTGGTCACCGTCCAATATAGAGTTATGTACATCCCAAGTAAAGTGCACTTAGTTTTGTTGGATGATCAAGAAGGCATAGCCACAGCTTCTGCTTTTGTTACAAAACAATTCTTATATTTAAAGAATCTGTATTTTCAAGATTGGTTTTACTGTTAGCTTTCTCTTTTTCTTTCTTTCTCTTTCTGTCTCTTCTTTCCTCTGTTCATCTTATTCCAACCTGATCCACTTGGTCCTTTGTTTTTTCAAAACACTAGATGTGCCTACGACAATTCTCCCCACCAGCCCCCAAACCCTTGTACCATCAGCCTCTCTGACGTATTCCTCTCCTTCCCCTTCTTTAGCTATCCCAAGTTCAAGTATCCTCCCCTCTGCTCCCCGAGATGTGGTCCCTGTTTTGGTCTCCAGTCGGTTTGTCCGTCTCAGTTGGCGTCCCCCTGCGGAGGCGAAGGGAACCATCCAGGCATATGCTGTGTACTTCTCTAGGGAAAGTGTCAACAGGTAGGTTCATATAATGGATGCCTATTCTCCAGTCATGTGTTCTGTGCATGTGGCTGTGTGTTTTTATTTATTACAGGTATTGCATTTACATCTCATCTTTCCTGCAATGAGCACAAGGTGAGACATAAGCAGATGGGAATGAAGGCTTTCATGTCAGTGGGGTACTGTGTCAATTCCTGGATTTTAAAAGAGTTATCCAAGGTACAAAATCTATTGGGAGAGGAAATAGGACTTGGACAGCTTTTTTCAAGTTGACAGTGACACTAAATCCTAACAATGATAATGCTGCCTTATTACTGCTACTGGGCTACTGATACTCTTGTTTTGGCATGAGAGGCATTAGCAGTCCATTTTGCAAATATATTCTCTCTTCCTCCACTTAAACTTCATAGCAGCTCTTCACAAAGTCAGACTGAGGGAGAATAATTGACCAAAGGTCAACAGCTGAGTTACATAAGGACTTGAATGTGCATCTTCCAAGTAGCAGACTAACAGTAACTTTCTATATACTGTGAAGGAATCAACATTCTACATCCAGGAAATCTGAACTCTATTAATTTATTTATTAAAATATGTTTATTCCATTGAAAGATATCTGGATGATATACAGTAAAACAAATATAACAAAATTTAAAATTATATATAATTATAATAATGTTAAAATATTAATTTTCCAAATTAAAAGGCAGTTAAAACCAATAAATATTTAGAAATTAATTAAATTCATGTGTATGGAAACATTTTGTAAGGTCAGTTGGGCCCAAAAACTTCCCTAATGTTTTTGCATAGCTCCCAAAGACTAGAGATCAAATGGGTATTTAACAATTTCCCTAACATAGTCAAGATTTCCTGAATACTATGTTCCCGATCACTTGGGAAAATCAAAGAGAATGAAAACAGTCCTTAAAAAGGTTCCCACAACTAGCAATTTTTATTTTGTTCTTGGCACTGTAAAATGGTGCTACTTTGTCAATTCTGCACCTCTTTAAATGTTGCATTATCGGAATACAAGCTGAAACTGCATAATTTTATAAGATCCCAAAATGATTCAACATTTAAAGGTAGAGAATGAAGTAGAACATTTTTTGAATGCTAAGGCATAATATTGAGCATCTTGTTGTGAAAAGTAGAACTAGGGCATTCCATCTATTCTAAAATGAACTTTCCCTCCATATAAACCTTGGAAATGATGAAATGAATTAGCGAAGATGAGAAGGAATTGGGGGACCCTAGTAGGCAGACAGATCGAGAAAGAAGGGGAGCAAAGACTCAGAACCCAAACAACCCATTTTCCAAACAACAGAGTGAAAAGGGACTGATGATGGCTTTTGTTTCATGCCTTGGCTCTTCTTGGAAGAAAGGCTAAGAAACCAACCAGAAACCTTCAGGATGCAATACACCTTTCTTTATTAATTCCTTATGTGAAATCCACACATTTATCTGCTGTCTTGCCTCTCTTTCTCAAAAATATCTGCAAACAAAAAGAGCAATGGTTGGAGACAAACCTACAACCGTGCAGCTGTTCTTCAGAAGGTTGCACAGTTCTGACTAAAGGTGCTTGAGTTTCTTGAAAAAGTGCAGTTTTAAAACACTATGGTGCATTTTCTGCCTTTTGCAAGAGAAAAAAATATGTCCTGAATGTTTTACTACTGTGGGAAGAAAAACCGATGTCTCTTGGGAAGTGGGAAAATTGTAAATAATTATTTCTATTAAAAAGCGACAATGTTGGTGGCCAACTCTATGATCTACTACAATTCTATAGTTGAAATGGTGTGCATATTTTGCAAATAATTCACTTTTGTTATGTCATGAAGGAAATGTAAACTTTTTTCTACCAAATCAGGTCATTTATTCAGATAGTTCATTATCAGGATTCCTGTTTACTTTTATAGAAGTCTGCTGCAGGAAGTTGTCTATATACACATTCTTACCGTGCAGTCCAAGATGGCCAGGCTTTGCTGGTTTATCATATTTATTTTTTGTATATTTCTGTTTTTCTCACTTGTTCATTTATTCTTATATTTCTTAAACCTAAGTGGAGACACAATTTAAATATGAAGACTCTTTTATTTTGTTACCTCACTGGAAGTACACAATGCCCGGAGTGTATTCCTTTGTTATTAAACTGTAAAATGTGCATTATTTCCCTCAATGACTTCATTTTAATTAAAGTTGGCATTTCTGATTCTAGTCCTTGAGGAAGCCATCTTAGGGAGACAGGATGCTATTTCTGGGTCCTTGGAATGACTGTAAACATAGAAGAAAAATAACGCTACAAAGTGAGAATGTTAGAAATAGAAATGGTGACTGGATCTTTCCTACTGGATCTGGAGCTTATTATTTGACTGATTTCAGAAGATTTTTTAAAGACAAGGTTGCGTTGTAAGGTATACTCTAGCATGTTCATTAATTTTCAGTACATACATTTGGTCACAAAGTTCTGGCAAATGGTCCATGTGTCAGTTTTTTCCCCTTACCTGTCATAGTTCTAGGATCATTCCCAGTCAATGCTACTTGGAATGTTGCAGGCCATAAAACACTTTCCAAATATCACAAAATCTCCTTACTTATGCAAAAATAATACCCTATTTTTTTAAAAAAAGAGTTGCCAAAACATGAAAACACTACTGAAGAAATGAAAGTGACTCTTGAGCTTACTGGTTATGGTGCCTATCTCCATTTGTGGAAAGGAGGATGATTTTCTCAAAAGTGTTCTAGGTGTCTAAATCCTTAGCTGCTCTGTAACTGAAATGTTCAGCTGATGCTACTGAAAGCAAAGTTAGAAGAAAATGCATGGCTTCTGGTATCTGAAAAGTTATTGAAAAGCAATTTTGGAAGTGAAAAGTAGAGAAGAGTTTACATCGTAAACAAAAACAATGGAGAATGATGGAAGCTTCTTTTGTAACACACACACACATCACAAGAAGATCAAACCAGTCCGTACTCCAGGTAATAATGCCTGACTGCTCATTGGAGAAAAGGATATTAGAGGCAAAGATGAAGTATTTTGGCCACATAATGAGAAGAGAGGATAGCTTGGAAAAGACAATGATGCTGGGGAGAAATGGAAGGAAAAAGAAAGAGGGGGCAGACCAAGGGCAAGATGGATGGATGGTATCCTTGAAGTGACTGGCTTGATTTTGAAGGAGCTGGGGGTGGCCACAGCCAACAGGGAGCTCTGGCATGGGCTGGTCCATGAGATCATGAAGAGTCAGAAGCGACTGAACAAATAAAAAAACAACACACACAATCAGGACTAATTGTCTGAGGGCCAGAAGAACTTTGTACTGAAATTTTGTGAAGGAAGACTGCAACAAGACATTATCTGAAACCAACAAACAAGGACAAGTCTTGCTGGATGAGACATTCTTCAATCAGTGGCAGACAGAGGAAGAGCAAAAGTAAAAGGGCACAAAAATAGAGTCAGAACCTTCAAGGCACCTGTTCAGTAACTTACCACATCACATTGGGGCTTCTTGCCCCTTTGAAGTACTTTGGGGATGGTGATGGCCGAGCACCATCACATGACGTTCGACAGGCCCTGCCCGGGTCAGGGACTGTGTGAAGAAGCCATACACAGGAACAAAGAGCAATAGAATGCAGAGCAATAGAATATAATAGTGAAATGGTCAAAAAAAGACCTGTTCTACAAGATCAATTGTCATCACAGTCTGAAATATTATCTGTGTTTCTAGTGAGAGACACAGATGAATTGGCTGTGTGCATGGTTTTCAATATTTTCTCTGGTTCAGTTGTTTGCAGATATTTCTAAAGGTATTAACTGCCATGAAATTGCAGATAAAAGCAAGGCATTAGTCACTGAATGACTCTGCTACTATAAGGAATATCATCTTCTGTTTGCTAGAGGGATAGCTCTTAACACTGGTCTTAAAATGCCGCTTTTAATTAAAAAAGAAGGAAAGCAAAGTTTGAAAACCCATTTTAAGATTTCTATTGTGGTGAGAACTGCCTCTGGCCCTGTGAACTTTGAAGCTTGCAGTGTGAAAAAAAAATGTAGTTTCCCTTAAGTGCATGGCTAGAATACTGAGTCATTTATTGTTTATACATTATATTTTTACAAAAGAGCTATTTTTCTCTTTACAATAATAGCAGTTCTGACATTAACCCGAGGCATGCACAGGAATTGTCAGTCAAATTGCTATAACTCCAAAGGACAGAATGATTCCTGCTATTGGAGAATAACAGTAATTTTGCGTGACAATTCACAGTCCCCATAATGCCAAGCTTACATATAGAAGTATGCAACAGCACACATTCAGTGACTGTGCACCTCTGTCTTATTCTAACAGGCTTGTGCCATCTCTCTTAAAGGTTAGACCAGTGTTTTCTAATTGCATTCCAAGGAATCACAAGTTTCCATAGGTTTTTATAGGGCTCTCTCAAAAACAAAACAAAACAAAACAAAAACAGGTAACCCTGTATTTAACCTAAGCTTGTCCCTGCTTCTTTTTGCCCACTCAGAAGAGAGAGAAAGAGAGACACAATCTATCTGGAGTACAATGTCCTGTTTTGCCCCAGAAACAGTCTTACAGTGAGAGGTAAAGCAACTAAAAAAGCTTTACTTCAGCAAAATGATAATATCTAACAAACAGCAGCCAAGGAACAGAAGAGAAATCCTAAAAGCAAAGCAAAAGTCTTACATCAGACATGAAAGTAGCGTATTTGGCAAAAGGTCCTTGTAAGACACTTGTTGGAGCTGCAAGCGAGGAAACCAGAGCACAGAAGCACTGAATAAAATGGTTGCTGCCAGCATTAACCACTTGCTTTACTGTTGATTTGGCCATCATGGGTCGGACTAACCTGTGGTCTGTTCAGCAGTCATCAGCACCTGTTTAGTTAGGAGCACATTGCAGCGGTCTCTGGCACATATAATTACATAGTCTAAGAGGTGCCAATTCTTTGACTTGGGGGGGGGGGGGCTTCCATAATGTCTTAAACTTATTTTTCTGGCAGAAGAGTGCATTTGTGATGACCAGTTT